TATGGAGAGGGCTATGCTCGGAGTTTCTCTGCGTGATAAACTTAGGAATGAGGATATCCGCAGTAGAACCAGAGTGACCGACATAGCCCAACGGATTAGTAAGCTGAAGTGGCAGTGGGCCGGCCATATAGCTCGAAGAACCGACAACCGATGGGGAAGAAAGGTTCTCGAGTGGCAGCCTCGTACCGGTAGGCGAAGTGTAGGGCGTCCCCCCACGAGATGGAGTGACGACCTGGTAAGACATGCAGGAAGTCGATGGATGCAGGTGGCTCAGGACCGTGTTTTGTGGCATTCTTTGGGGGAGGCCTATGTTCAGCAGTGGACTTGTGAAGGGCTGTAATGATGATGATGATGATGATATATATATATATATGTTCATTTTACGCCTGGCGTAAACCAGATAGTTAAATTGTCATCTATTAGAAGTAATAAGGTCTTTCTGGCATATCCCATAGTCGCCTCTTACGACGCCTATGGGTCGCAGTGGTGCTATGGATTCTCTTACGTGACCACCACAAAAGCGTAAGGAAAATCCATAGATTGTAACTCATTAGTTCAGTTCAAGATGTCATTAATAAATAATGATTATGTCAAAAATAAATAAATTAATTAAATATTTTCATATTTCATTTGCAGACCTACGTTAATTCTAACTAATCTTACGGATTCTATCACGCTTAAAATTAACTTTTTGATTCCCGACGTTTCGGGTGTTTTACAGCACCCATAATCACGGGGGCGACTGAGGTGTTTGACGTCTCGATATCATAGTTAGCCCAGCTAGTTTTTGAATATAAATTTTTGGTCCGATCTACGTTGATAATTAATATTCAAATTGTGTAGCGTTCGCGTAAATATAAGAAATCATTATGCAGATCTACGTTTTATATATCAATGGTATGTGATATTTTAAGTTTCGATATTTGGTTGGTAAAAAAAATCGTATGGAAACCGGCGAGGAGGTTTTTTTAATCTTCCGTTTCAAAATGAGGTCCCTTTTACGGAGATAAAACGTATGAGACGTCCACATATAGTACATATTACGTGTAACTCTTGTTGCTTCAAAATAATTTTTTAATTAAAATGAAATAAAAGAATACCGACGACCGTTCCATTAAAATATTTTTCAAAAATTTCGCAACATCACTAATACACTCCTTGACTTAATTAACCCTTAAAAGTGGCCTCCATAATCCGATAGCGAACAAAGAGGTGAGAGAAAAAAATGCACTCAATGTCACGTCCCAAACTGGGAACTTTGGAAAAAATCATATTTTTATGGGGCCTTTTGTGTGTTTTTTCTCACAGTTGTGAGGCATCTGAAGCAGCACGATTCGGTAACGCACCGAGGATGATGTTATCTTGGCCATTAGGAGGTCGGGCTACATCTTAGCATTGAGACATTTTAACACGTTCTCTTTTAGTTTCCCTTCGACAATTGTTATTTTTAGATATTGAAGGTTCCTACTTGAATATCTCAGATATTTTGTCAAGTTTTTTTTTGCAATCTAATCCCAATGAATTACTTTAAGTACACGGTATCGTAAATAAGTTTGTCCAAATAAAGTGAAGATGTCTCGTACGAAATTCCCACGATGACAGTCCACCTGACAAGACAATAAAATACACCTGGTTTTTGCAGCATCATAACCGCAGTCTGTAGTCGTTGCTTTGTCACCTGTTGACACGTCGCTGATATAAAATGCCAATAAATGTCACTTTTTTATGACACATTCGCTCAGTGAATTCACGTCACGTGCGACCGCCACGTCAGATTCGTATCAACGCATGCTCGCCACCCTTGCTGTCCTGACGAGCGCCATTCTCTCACGTGACACCGACAACGCTCGTCGCGTCATCTGATCTCAAGCTAATCTCGGCCCCATCGTCGGCTATTAACGCCCGAGGCGAAAACATTTCTTGACAATGGTCTCATTAGCTTCACAAAAGTCATTAAATGGTTGACAGTGCGCCGGTATTGTGCCAGCATCACGTACAACAAGAGCGCTAACAACGTGTGGAGGATCTCAGGGAAGCGGAACAAATCGCGTGATCTATCCAGAACGCCATCCGTCCACAGTATCCTTTCATCGATGTATCTACATGCCCGGCAAAAAAAGCCAACGGTCTCGAATGATTATTATCTTTCTTCGACGATCATCGATCGCTATTATCCTATTTAAAAGCCTCTTGATTTGTTCTTCGGAATTTTTTCTTTTCATTCTGTGTCTGGCGTTTCAATTCAGGACCCCAACAATGGGCAAGTTAAGAAAGATGTTTAAGTGTTTAGTTACGCTATTTTTTCGCAATTTTTCAATTTCAACGGAATCGTGTCGTTGATGGGCCGGAAGGTGTCGTCACGGAACGTTATCAATACTAATAGTGTATTGTATTGGGAATAATCTGAGTTGTCTAATATCTCACTCAGTATAGTGTAATTTAAGCCTTATAAATTATATGCAATAAAACTTTTTTATGCCAATTTTTAAACGTTATGTTATATTTGTATCAAAGGAGTGTTTGTTAGTAGAGAATTTGTATTAGTAAACGTCTTTAAATGTAATTTATGTAAAAAGAATTTAATTAGGTAGCTCTTTTTATACATGAGATTAGTTTTTCACATTCATGTAACTAAAGAGCCGTTGTAGCTCAGATGGTTAGCGCTCACTGTAACTCGAGCAACCCGGGTTCGATCCCCGCCGGCACCAATGAAATCGTTAATTGCAATTTTAAGTGCTGATTTACCACGTGCTCGGCGGTGAAGGAAAACATCGTGAGGAAACCTGCATGTCTGAGAAATAAGAAAAAAAATATTTCGAAGACATGTGAAGTTCGCCAACACGCATTGGGGCAGCGCGGCGGACATTTCCTTGCCCTAAAGCCCTCTCAGAAATGAGAGGAGGCCTGTGCCCAGCAGTGGGACGTAAATAGGATGCAACTTTACTTTACTCTTTTATTCATGTAACTACGCAATCATGCCCGTCGGTTAAGGGTAATCTTATTTTGGCCGAAAAAAATTGCTTGTATGATATATTAAGCGATTGAAAATTTTATCCGGTTAACGCTTTATCTGTTAGAAAAAGTATTTTAGTACGTAAGAAAACAGTTTATTTATCACATGGGTACGATACAGAATATCATACCTAGTAACTCTTAATTTATCTTCTTATTAGCCGTGGTAGCGAGAAAACTGGGTCTGATCCCCACGAGCACTAAAATGGTTAATTGCAATTTCACATACTGATTGCTCCGCGTGCTCGGCGATGAAGAAAAACATTGTGAGGAAGAAAATATTTTGAAGACGTCAATTTCTTCTCAGAAATGAGAGAAAACATATGCTTATATGCTGTATATAGGTTATTACTTTAAATTTTGCGTTCTTATTTACATAACTTTAACATATATAAATACCTATGTTAATTAATCAATCAATTAATTATGCATCACACATAAAAACAGTCATTACGTTTAAACTTTGAAAAAAAAAACGTTAAAAATAACAAATCCTATTTTTTGATCAATTTTTTTTGTATTAGGACGCTATACCACAGATTAAATAATAGTACTACGTAAGCTATACTTAAATCAATAAGAGGTAAAAATTTGTACGGGAACTTGCCATTATTCTTTGTAATGGAAATTGATTTTCTTAGTGGAAATTAGAAGTAAGCACAGTTATAACAAAACATAATTAACACACGTGATGGATTCTTCGTTCGAGCAATACCAGATATTAATTGGTAAGGCATCGGGCGCGGGGCGAGTCGGTCGGACCCACACGTAGCGTGAAATCGCGGGGCGCGGGAGCGGAGCCACACCTGGCCACCAAGGCCTGTCTTATTATTTGTTGTCTCCCATCTTCCATGCTCGTAAATTTCCACGTCAACGTGTGCGATGATTGTGGAAAAAATAAGGACGACAAAGCCGTTCACACCCGGAGATATAGACATAAAGACGGACTACGCTCAGTAAATACTAAACATAATGCAACCAGCGCGAGAGTCCCCTGTCGTATTAATGTGCGTGGATAATTTTTCGTCGTAATAAATTCGGATTGTAATGGCTGATAGTGATTGGTCTGAATGTTTTTGAGCTTATTCCAATGAAAATTTCGTTTGAAATATCTTCAGCGGGACCAGTTTTGGCATTATATCGAAATCACCTACTTACTACCTACGTGTTCTCAATGAAGTTTAAGGAGTTACTGCACTCTTTCCATTAGCAACAAAGCTTTGTAAATAAACATCTATGTTTATTGGCATTTTGGTGGTTCCCTTCAAAAGCCTTCAATAACAATGCTATTTTACTATAATGCAGTACTTTTGATTTAATATCAGTAGTTACGTAAATAAAGACTGGTGTCGAATTATTTCTGATTGAATTTATCAATGTGGCATCCATATGAATAATTGGAGGTATATTTTTACCGATTCGGATGATAAAATTAATTATAACCAATAATAACATTATTTGATATTTTATTTAGTCTTATCTATTGAAATTAAATTAAATTTAACAAATAACGTTTGATTTTTAATTGCCTACTTCAATTTTAATTTTAATTTTTATACTTCAAAAAGGAAAACTTAAGCCCTTGTTCGCTATGATCGTCATCAAAACTAGAGTAGGTTATTCAAAATTATTTCGATGTTATTGTGGACAATGTTTTTTTATTAATAAAATAAAATTTGTTTTTACATTTATACATTTACACGTACGACGTATATATGACTTTTTATAATTTAAGGCTTTTTATAATTTAACGTTTTATAATTTTATGGCTGATTTTTCAATCGCCAGCTTAAAACTGTTAATTTTAATTTGATTTCGTTGTATCATCAATCAATAACTTTTATCTGATGATATTGCAAAAATCAACAAATCAATAAGAAACAAAATCAACATTAGATTGAACCTTTAAACTAGTAAAGCAAATGCACGTTTGTCTATACGTGTGATAAAGGTATTTTCAAAGGAAACTATAAAAAAGAATACCTTACCTCTTTTCATAATAGCACTTGCATGAGGATTTGTGCTCTTTCCCAGAAGACTGGAACAGTTCCACCGATGCCACCGAAATTGATGTTGACATTCCTTAACCGCCATTTGAAGGCCCTCGAAGGCAACCGCCGCCGTGTCGGGTACTTCATGACAAACGGCTCTTTGTTCCCTGGTCAATCCTCCCACTAGGCGACACGTGAGAGCAGAGTTAAGCTTGAAATGAGGTGGAAGCGAGTTGTCGCGAGAACTGTGTAAAAAAAAGCACAATAAATATGTAGATTAAATTAAAGTTAGTCAATAGTGTGGCAGCGTAGCTCAGACGATTAAAGTACAGAAGTCATTCGAGGGTTGAAATCCTAGCCGCAGCAGCTTATAGCTTTGCAAAAACATAAACTACCTAATTTATGATCTCCTATCTTCCTAACCTATTTTCCATTTTGACGTATGTATTCCATATCGGAAACAGTAAAAACGTGTATTGTGCATTCAACACACTATTGTATACTCACGGTACACTATTGTATACATTATATTTTGCGTAGTGCCTTCTAATAATATTAGACAAACTTGCCATAATAAGAATCTTAAATTAAACAACTTCATTCGATCGTGGTGGAGCCACGCTGTTGTTGTACGTTGCAACACGAACGGGGCTGTTGTATTTCGTATGGTGAGTGACAAGAACCAGAGAACATTTTTACTGCTAACGAGGCATTCCATCTGAGTCCTTAAGGCTGATAAGGCATCTGCAATTCGTTTCTTGATCGAAGGTAAATGCATTTGTCTATGGGCCATTGCATGTATTTACTATCAGGTGGCCTGAGTGCTCATTTGTCGATTGTTCTAGTATAAAAAGTTCGTTACAGTATTATAAATTAAGTTGACGAAAATTATTGTTTAAACTACTTACTAAAACTTTTCTCAAAAAAATTACACACATATATATATATACTAAGCCTAATTATTTTTTAGGTTAGGTGTCTGTTTGGGTAGGTACTACCATTCTACCTATTGCTACCACCAAAAAGCAGTGCTTGTACTTTTGTGTACCAGTCTATAGGGTATAGAGAGTCAGTCATAATTACAGGCCGTAAAGCATTCCATCTTAGTTCCCAGAAGTAACAACGTATCTGTAGCCTTTGTTTAAAGTTGGCTGCAGGTGTCCATGGACTGCTGTAGCCAATTAGTGCTGTAGCCATGAGGTGAACAGTAAGTTCGTTTGTCACTTACTAGATGTTATAATCTACAAAAATTAAATCAAAGTCAAAGTTAAAATATTTAAAACAAAAACTTTTTTTAACGTGGTAGAGCCATGCTGCAGCTGTATTACTGGTATAGTTGTAGCACGAATGGGTCGGCTCGACCGGGGAAGGGCCACGCTCTCACAGAATACCAGCGTAAAATAGCAGCTTAACGCTAATGTGTTTCGTATGGTGAGTGTAGAGAACCGGAGACCCTTTTTACTGGAAACGAGGCATTCCATCTTAGTCCTCACGGGTGACAACGCATCTGCATTTTGATTCGTAATCGAGGATAGATGTAGATGTCTAGGGGCCACAGAAACCACTTATCATCAGGTGGACTGTGTGCTCGTTTGTCACCCTTTATCTTATAAAAAACTTTTTGAAAGTCGAAAAAGCTATGCCTTCGCTTCAACAAGTTAAAGTTAAATTTACAGCCTATATATGTCCTCCGGCCTCCTCTAATTTCTGAGAGAGTTTTAGTATAAATAAGGAAAGTGTCCGCCGCGCTGCCCCAATGCGTGTAGTTGAACTTCACATGTCTTCGAAATGTTTTTTTTTCTTATTTCTCAGACATGCTGGTTTCCTCACGATGTTTTCCTTCACCGTCAAGCACGTGGTAAATCAGCATTTACAATTGAAATTAACAATTTCATTGGTGCTGGCGGGGATTGAACGCAGGCTGCACGAGTACTGTGAAATTTACAGCGAGTGCTAGGCCCCTGAGGACCACGGATCAACAAGTGTCCTCTGCTAATTAGTTTAGGCTAGGTTTCCTCTTATTATAGCGCAAGTGCATCTTGACGAACTTCACAAGTCTGGAAATATATATTTATTACCGTCTTTCGAACGCAGGACAATTTTTTTATTTTTAGTCATCGATTTATATGTACTACATACTAGATTTCGCATTCTGAACATTGAATATGTTCAACTGAATTATTATATTGCCTAAATTGAACATTTGTGAATTCCATAAGATAACTAGCTGACCTGGTAACCGTTGTTTTGCCATATACATTATTTCTATGAAATATTTTTTAGTTTTAAAAAACAGGTGTTGATCTTAGAAGGGTGAAAATTTTAAGTTTTATGTATTTTCCAATGTTAAATCATAATAAAATAGAAATAAAAATTTCTGTCAAAAAAATAAAAAAATATATTTAGGGGTGGGTCACCCTTATCATTTAGCGGTTTGAAAAATAGATGTTGGCCGATTCTCAGACCTACCCGATATGCTCACATAATTTAATACAAATTGGTTCAGCCGTTTCAGAGGAGTTTGGTAACAAACACCGCGACACGAGAATTTTAAATATTAGATTATTATTACATTTTATTTAGAAATATGTTTGTTTAGATTAAAATAAGAGTATTTTGTATTAAATTCTTATATTTATTTTATATTAATATCTTATTTTATATTAAATTAAAGTCTTTCCCGCGCCTGCACGAAGACATAGAGTAGGCATAATTTTTGCTTGGAGTAGCTTCTCTAGTACGTAGTACATATAACTCAATGTTTTTAGTAATGTCAGTGCGAGGGTCAAGCTCCTACAGATTACCATTACACCCTGTCAAAAGTCCACTGCTGAACATGGACCTCTCTCATAGATTGCCTCATAGGGGTAATGTTTCCTATAGTTGTTAGGCTTGGCACACGCAAGCGGGTTGGCAACCACAGTTTGTTTTCTTTTTAGCTGTAATTTGGGAAACACTGCTGGCCATATCTGACTTTGCTTTACCTCTGTTACCTCTTACGACACACACGAGACAATATGGATCAGTGGATATTCTTACACCGCCACTACTCTACTTATAACTAATTCAAAAAAAACTGCTAGTTTATTTTCTAATAATTTAGTAAAAGCTGCCAGAAAATTTTACACGTTTTTATGCTTACTTAAGTGTTTTAAATCATCATATACCGACCTAATTAGTGAAAAAAATCATATAGTTGTTTCAAGTAATTCGACATTAGGTTATATAAAGTGATAATATATTAATGTTGATCATTAGCGATCCTAATAATTTACACGTTATCTAAAAATATTGCCGCTAATTAGGATCACCTTATGTAATTAATGTCAATATAATTAATCTATTCCGAGCACAGATGCTATCTTCACGAGTTTGAAATTGTTTATTAATGAAACAATTTGTTAAACAGTTCCCGAGGTTCAACAAATATTTTTAAAGTATTTGACGATGGAACTAATGAGGCTATATTGATTTTAATTAATAAATCTACGGAAAGGTGACTTTTAAATAGTTATAGATGAATTCCAGTAATGACTACTTATTTTTAAAGCCCACACGCGTGTTTGGTTATTATTAACAGGGACATTATATAGTTCATTAGGTAGGTATGAAATTGCTCTGATTAATTTCAGCTGCCAAATTCCATCAACGCACATGGTGACGAAATTTATGATACTATCCACATCATCTGGATGATTGGCAGTCCACCACTGTGTGATTTACTAGGAGTTCGTGCTCATTTGGCCCTCTTTTTCTTTGTTTAAAGAAACAAGGTCAGTTTTCATATAAAACTAAAACAGTATGGTGTTTATTTTTAAATTTAACTTAACTCTTTCAAGAGGAAAGAAAACATATAAATGTTTCGTTTATATGTCACGAAAATACGAAGTCATTTGTTGTTAAAAAACTGTTCTTATGAAAATAAAAAACCTTTATATCTTAAAAATCCGGACTTTTTTAAACCAATTCCTTAACCATTTCATTCTTTTAATTGCATATTATCATTTCCATATGCTTTTATATGTGGGCAGCCATGGCCGAAGTGTCTATGAACAGTGGGCATTCCCCTTTACTTTAATTAAGTCCCAGCGCTGGATGTAGAACTCAACCGCCACACGCCTGGCTATAGATTGCATCTTTTTAAATAGTATACGATCTTGCGCATACTTTCAAATTTTGAAAGAAAGAGAGAGGGGAATGGAGAGATAAAGAAAGAAACTATTACATTTGAAAGAATAACCAACATGAAGTTTTTTTATGTGTTTAATAGATCCATGAGAAAAACACAATGTATCGCATCACGTAGCTACCGCCAAGTGACGTGGCTCGTCTATCAGATAAGGCGAGAATAGGGTTAGTATCAAGATTGGGATCATATCAGGCGTCTACTTGTTCCATTCTCTAGACTAAAGTTAGAAAATTTTATTTATAAGTGGCGGTTACTTCTTGATTCATAACGTATATATTGTAACGCAGAATATTATTCGAGTATAGTAGTAGTCGTGGTTTCATTTATAATATCATATTATGCGGCTAAACATAGCGATATTTTCAAGGTGTAAGCACTACCACCAAGTAAAAATCGACTCGTTCGTCTATTAGAGGGATTCACGGTGTGCAAATAAAGGTTGCCTCTGGAGAAATAAATAGTATGTTATATACCTGTCACAAAATTATTTATATTTGATAAAGCACCTCGTTTAATTCGGATGTTCCAAGACGCGTATTCATCTTTTTTAGGGTTCCGTACCTCAAAAGGAAAAAACGGAACCCTTATAGGATCACTTTGTTGTACGTCCGTCTGTCTGTCTGTCTGTCAAGACCTTTTTTCTCAGGAACGCGTGGAGTTATCAAATCGGTATCGGTATGAAATTCATAACAAATACTCGAGTCTACTGTCCCTTGGAGCTGTGAAAAAATCAAACTTCTAAGCGTACTAAATCAAAAGATACAGCCGTTTATGCCGCAAATTTTCGACATTCGCAAGGGAATCAAAACTTACTTCCCGTGAACTCAGAATCTTAAAATTTGGTACGAAGCAACGTTTTATAGTACAGATAAAGGAAAAATTGCGAAAAGTAAAAATTTTTTAGTTACATCATATAACCTTTTCGGATTTGTTCGGAACCCTCGGTGCACGAGTCCGACTCGCACTTGGCCGGTTTTTTTTAAAATTGTAGGGTGACAAACGAGCGCACAGTCCGCCTGATGGTAAGTGGTTGCTGTGACTGCTGTGTATTAAAAT